TTCTATCGATGGCAGGGGAAATTCCTGAACGAATGAAATACCGAGTTAATCAAATATGAATAAATGTCCCTCGAGTAAATATCAAATGAAACCAATGCCAATTAAACAAACATCAAATAGATCCCAAAAATATCCTAAAATTCGTCCCAACATAATATTAAAACTTACATGGACAAAGCTAAGTGATAACATCCTCAGAAAGGTACCATTATTTTATATTAGTTTATATTGTTTACAATGCAACTTTCTTCCTCTATTTCTATCGCTCATAAAGGATCTCTACTTGCAAAGATACTTTCTATCCAGTCTGTAAGAGTTTTTCTGTCTCATTTATGTGCTCAAGGCCAACGATCTCTATCACAAACTAAATTCCGTTGTGTCAATGGAAAATGCTGTGCAAGACTAAAGTTCATATCTAGCTGCCCCTCCGTTTTTCGAAAACGCACTAATTATTGCTCCAGACCGAAACGAGAGGGATGTATAAACCTAACTTGCCCAGGAACTATACCTTCCTGATAAATTATGTACATTAAGACAGTAAATTATTCCGCCTTGTTTTAAAAGAGTCTACTAGATAAAGATGACTTGGTTTGATTGTGGGCCAAACAGATCTATCCTGCGCCCCCTTTTTCCAAAGCCAATCGATCTTACTTCAGTATCAAAGGCAAATCAATGTTCTAACTTGTTTTTGATAAAAGTGCTGTTCCAGTACTTCCGAATGTAAAAAACCCTACAAAACCGAAATCAAAATTTATACAACCTGCTGAGACAGTTTAGTAATTTCTTGATTACAAATCTCTGCAGAAGGGCGTTGCTCTGGATTTCCATCCCAACACCGGCTCATCAATTGTTTCAAGCGGCCTGGAGGCTTTATTCCACCTTCCACATCTTTCGGACGGTAGCCTTCATCCACCAGACTAAAAAAAGCTGTTATCGGCCTCCTGAATTTAGCAAAGGCCTGCCGCCCGTACCACATCTCCCAAAGTATTATGCCAAAGCTGTAGATGTCTGCTTTGCTGTCATATAACTTGGAATGAAACACTTCCGGTGCGATGTACACAGGGATCCCCGCCAAAGTACCCGTGATATCCTTTACGTCTTTAGAAACGCCAACATCAGTTATCTTCACTGAGTTTTCCTCTGATAGCTTGAATGTAAAAGAAGGAACACCTGTAGTTTTACTGTACTTGGTAAAGTGAACAATTTCTCTTAAGGAACTCCTATAAAACATAGTTTAGTGTTATATACTTTCGGTATCTGATGAAAAGTACGTGTTTTCCTCACTCCCCACTTCCCACTCCTCCTCTTAACAGCATCCAACATAAGTGTAAAGTATACATGTGTATGTACTCCTTTGTTCTTGAAACAAGAAAGAATTAAATATATCACTCGAGTTTACGTTTCAAAGTTTGGCGTTTTGCCTTTTTGAACTCGAATTAAGACAGATTTCCTTTTTTTTTTTTTCATTTAATTTACAAACCATCAAGCAGAAAGCACTACATGTTTTTCCTTTTCCCTGAGGCCATTTAAAAAATTAAGGTTTTGAACAATATTTCGGTCATTATTTTTAAATTGCCATACACAAAGTTCAGCCTCATACCAAGATGTTCTCTAGCTTGAGGTCCCTGTGGACAACTCCCTGATTGTGAATGAACGCAAGAGCTTCAGTGATCTCCTTCGCCCATTGATATACTTTTTTAATGACAGCAGGATTCGTGGTTTTTGCTGGAGCTGCTTCTGGGTGATCGAAGATCTGACTCTTCAAGTTTCCTTTGCACTTTTCCATTACCAGGATCACTCTTGTGGTGTTCGCGCTCTTGAGAAGGGATGTGCCATAAAACTTTACAGTGTGGGGATGCTCCAATTTTCTGTCGAACAGAATGAAAAAAAACACGCAATATGGATACAAGTATTGCAAAATTGGCTTTATAAAAACTGTCATATTCTCTCATGTGTCTTTCTGTCTAATCTTATGCTCCTTACTAATTCATCTGCCATACACACCCGCGACAAACCGATTACTCTGAATCTCATAAAATAGCGTCTAACAACAGCTTAAACTCCAAACAAGATCGAAAGATATGAAAGAACGAAACGGTTGAGTTTAATTCGCAATTACCCACTTCGCCACTGGACCCTGTGTCATTAATTCCGCTAATTATTCTGTTCCTGGGTTGCTAAACGCGGCACCGGGCTTGCAAAATCTGCAATTCAACCTTTAGTTACGATTCACATTGCAAATGAGTACCGAATATGCCATCTGTAGATAAGGGCTATTGCGATAGCCATAACTGTAAAAAAGTATTTGTAAATATATATTGAAATCACATAACAGGTTTTGGGGAAGGACCTTGAAAAGAGGGCTTAAAGGGATTTCGATCACATTGAATTCGCTAAGAATCTCCGTCGTCCGCGACAAGTCTGGTATCCGGTACTTTTAGATTGACAGACTAGCTCAGCTTTTGTCCGAGGGTTGTTATTCATGTAAAGGCAGCGTGGTCGAGGAGGTTGAGGCTCCGGGCGTGAAATCCGGACGTCGCCCGTGAGGGTCCCGCCCACTCCCGCCGTCCCGCTCTAACCACTATTAACCTGGATTTGTTTCCCAGTAGACCGTACTGCAACTCCTCGGTCATTACTGTAATATCCAACTGGTCTGCAACTGCCAGTTCTGGTCTTTAAGCCTACAATGTTTATTTAAAATATTTTTTCTTCCAGGTGTAGATAAGCACATTGACCACTATAACCATTCAACATCAACATCCTGATGTTGGGAAAATTATTTACAGTCTGGTTGATTTCTCACAGCCTCACAGATTATATTCTTAAGAACTCTATAGAAAACCTTTGAAAACCGGGGAGTAGTTTGTGAAGACTGTAAGGGTGCTTTCCTTTGGGATGATCCGGATCAGGATTAACGATTAATCAAGATCAATTGAATCATGGTGCATCAAGGAGACCGATAAATCCTTGTCCAGAGTGGATTGAGTAGTTTGATGCATCATGATCAGAATGACCCGGATAACTCCAGGTTACTAAATATGAAATTTATGGAATGCCAAGTCCAGTACTTTCCTAAATCAATTTTTAAAGTACAATGTAGGCAGCTGGCTGTGTTTCAGTTCCAGTGGATTATTTCAGTGAAGTGTAAAGACCACTCCAGATTAACAATAGCGGATATATGTTGCGTTACTGACAATCCTGAAGGTGCCTGCTCCTGAATGAGCTCTGCAATACATGGCAATCTCTTCTCTATTCTTCCTTCAATATACATGAATGGCGAGGTAAAGAAACTCAGAAGCTTCCAAGGAAATTCAGCTTTTAAGCATGTGAAAGCAGTAATAACCCAGGGATTGACCGGCAACGGAAATTACTTTGGACTCTTGAATAACTTAATGGTCTTAAAGTGCCACTAACCCCAAAAATTTTTTTTCGCTAATATAAATTTCCTTTTTCTCCTGATCACCACTGCGAAAAAATTATCGTTTTAGCTCTTTTCGTTAATTTTCTATGAATTTTTAAAGTTTGCAAATTTGCCCTTTTCCATGTTCACGACCGAGGAATAGCGGAGAATGGGACGAGTTGGCTTTTG